TGGAGTTGGAATGGAGAGACATAGCACATTCCTTCTACAGAAAGCTTTTTAGCAATTATTTTGTAGTGTATTCGTTTATCAGCAAAGTATTTTGTAAACACTTTTGTTATAGTGTCTAAATATATTTTATTGTAGCTTCTAATCAGTTTCTAAACACCATTACAAAATTAAAAAGGAAAAATCATTTGCCTCAGATTTCTTTTCCTGGCGATACCATGTATCCCAGAATTGCCAAGCGTTCCTGCCTTCCGTAGCTCTTACTTGACTTGTATGGCATTGTTGGCTGTGTTAAAACAGGCAGACTTGATCCTTATGCCTTGTCAATCTTACTTGAGATTTCAGTCAGTTATGTTTTGACTGGATTTAACAGAAAAGCTTTCCAATTTCCCCTCCCCCCCCCAACTCTTTATTTTTCACTCCATCTTACCTTGTACACTGCCCCCAGGACTCTTTAGAATGTACTAAACATTGGAGCAAGACTCTGGAGTCAGCAATCCCTGCGCACAAGCATCTCCCAGACTTCTGGAGTGCTGAACTGTGACGAGCTAATTCAAATCAGCACCTCTGTGGCGAGCTTTTGATGCAGTGCCCTCGGCCCTGCAAATCCCTGCAGGTAGTCCCAGCACAGGCCAGACAGAGCACACAGTGAGTCCTGGAGTCCCCAGCCAGCACAGACATCCCAGCCTCACGTGCTGGAACGCAGAGGCTGAAGCTGTACCCTGAAATCTGGTGACAAAAAGCAAGCCTCATCTTTTCCTATGTCCTACCACATCTGGGGACAGGAAGAGTCTCACATAGACAGCATCTCTATGTGAAAGCCATTTAAAATTGCACAGTACTGAGTTCTGATCTAAGGATATCTGGTAACCTGAGCAGGGTGGGTTAACAAGACATTTTCTGATCAGACACAGCCTAAACGTGTCATTGGCAAAGGACTGGGGTGTGCTATTTGTGACCTTTGCTTCCAAATGCAACAAAGCACAGCTTTCCTTTTACCCAGCAGATGGCCAACTGCTCTTGGTAACAGAAAATAAACCTAAGCAGAGGCTTTCTTGCTAACATTTATAGCCCTGCAGATGGACACTTTAAAGGAAAGGCAGCTTTGTTAAAACATAAAACAAAAACCTATGATAACTTTGAATTCCAGGCCTGATTATTTTGTGCTCTGTGGTGGACCTCCCTTTTCTTCAGACAGCTCTCCTTGAGTAGTAAAATACATGCAAGGACTCTGGGAAGTGTAGTATGTGCTCCAGGGATGTGTGGTGGTTTACTTCTACCAGGAGTGCGAAAGGCTGCAATAACAGAAATAGTAGGCTTTGTACCCCTGGAAAAGCTTAGAAATATTAAGCTTAATTACAGGAGGAAATACAAATAAATGCTTTGAATTTTTGTTCAGTGAAACTCTATCTGCCATTCCCTGATCTTGTTCCTTCTCTGAAAGTTCATTGCTGTTCCCAAGGTTATTGCAGGTTTAGCTGGACCCAGCTGCACCCGGTGGTTGCAGTTCTGCCTAATGCCTGTGACTTTAGGTGGTCGGAGGGCGCTTCTAGATGGGAACGTGAAAGTCTAAACTTGAGCTAGTATTTTCTCCAAAGTTCACATTAAGGATTAACCCAGCAGCTCAGACATGGTACTGCAACATACAATTACTCATCCGGAGGGGACAGGTTCAACTCACGTGCTTAGACTTATCCTTAATGTTTTGTCTCTCACCATTAGCTTTTTGACAGTAGGTAGTTACCAGCATAGGCAGGCTGGTGGACAGGCATCTTCTAGCATCAGTAAAGGTCTCACAAGGCCAAAATGAACTAGCTAATGGAAAACAAACTAGGAATGGAAACAACAAACTTTCATCCGTTACTAGGACATTATGCAGTCTAATGCAGTATGGCAACCATTGGCAGACACTCAAAAGCAGGAGCATGGGGTGCTTAAGAGGCTTAGACTGACCACAGTCACAGGCTTTGTCAACCCACATCTCCAGGAACTGAGGACACAGTAGACGTCAGTTCTCCTCCCAGACCTGCTCTGTTTGCGGTAGTTTTCCCTCTTCTGCTTTTCCCGTAACTGTTACAGCCAGCGCTATTCAATCAGCAGGGAGGTATATGTACGCCCTGTCAGAGATTACTGTAGTACAGAGATTACAGAAAAGAGTTTCCTGCTTTATTTGATATAATTTCTAGCACAATTTGAGTTACTGTTGTATTATTCCTCATATATAGCCAATTAGCTTTTTCTTTCTGAAAATCTCTCGGATAGCAACACAGAAAAGAATATAAAGAAAGTGTGACTCTATGCTAGAAAACTAAGAAAACTGGCAGGAATCTTACGGGCAGATAAAGTAACTAAAATAGCATTAACAATCTTAGCAAAGCATTCCAATTTGAAATTACAAAGTCCTTTTCTATAAGCTTTTTGCAGTACTTAAACACTGATTGCAGTGTGTTGTGCAAACAGTTTTAATGTTCTCCTCTTACTGAAACAGGAGGTTATGCAACCAGACCGCAATACACACATTGCCTTTTGAAGACAAGTTTAAAAAGCAGTAAAGTATTATCAAAGTGTCGTTACAGGAGCAAAAGCTCTTCCGAATCATCCCAACTGCTCATTTCCCAAGAGAGGGAGGTTGTTTAAACTCTGTGCCATGGTATATTATGCTTGTAAGCCATAAAAAGTAACCTTGGGAGACAGTCCCTGCACCAGTTGATGATGGGTGCTGTAAGTGTTTGCCTTTCAGAGGTGGCAAATGATACTATAAGCTCACATACAAAAGTATGTGCAAATGGGCTAAGAAATGCCAAACAAGGGGAATGAAAGGTTTCTGGCATGGAAACCAACTAACCTGAGCGGAACTTCTGAGCAAGAAAGGCCGAGTGTGCTTCTCTCCCCTGCTAATGTTCTCTGCCATTCTGCCCTTCTACCTTGGCATCTGTTACCTTGATACGCTTTTACTATTTCCTGCCCTGCCCCAGGTGTCTCTAAGCTTAGCATTTGATTTTTGGCACCCTTTTCCCTTTCATGCTTATGCTTGTTTCGGGCAACAGCAGCTGCATGGAATAAATCCTTTGGGTTTTATAGAGCCATTGTTCAAAGCTGTGTTTAAGACTGCTCCTACACATTTGCAATAGTAAACAACTATAGAAAAGCTGGAATTAATAAAAACATAATAAAAAGGCAGAGCTAAATACTGTTATACAGTGAAAGCAATTGGAAGTATGCATGTACAAAAAGACTTCTTTGATTAGCACATTATGAAGGAATGATCATTTTTAGAGGAAGAGCATGCAGTACTTACTTCATCCACCAAGATGTGTCATTGGTTTTGTGTTTTGTATCCAGTTCTGAATAAACACCACAGGGCAGAGATGTTAGATTTGCTTTCTTCATTTTGTAAGTAGATGTCACTTTAGGCCCTCTTTCAACCAAGTGACTACTACTCTGGTGCATACTGGAACAGCCTCAGGGATGATCTAGTTATGTTCGGACTACAGTTGTTCAAAAGGGACAGAGATTCCAGCTAAGAATACAAGTCTTCCCTCTTTTCTGTCATACCCCCTTTTTGCAGAAGAGAAGCATTTGGCATACAACTCTGGCAACTCTACAGCAGCTCAGGGGCTGCCTTGCAACAGAGCTATTCCTTGAAGTCCATATTGGACCTTACTGCTAGAAAAAGAGAATGGCTTGGCTGTAGCAGAATTTTCTCTGTAGTCTTTTTTTTTAGTGGGTTACCCACAAATCACTAATTAAACGGAATGGATCCTTAGAACAGATGAATTCAGAGTTACCAGTGAGACTTGCTATTTTAAGGGCTACTTTACATTTTACAAGAAAGGAAAGAAAAGGACAGTAAACATCTTTTGATAACCTTGCATATTCCACTCACATAGCCAACTCCTATTTTGTGAAAAGCTATGTGTATAGTGTGCTTTTTTATATTATCTAGAACTTCAGAACACAAGATGGCAGTGTACATTGTAGTCAATTCAGGCTTTGAGCTGCTCCTGCTACTCAAACATAGCATATAACATTTTATTCAGTCATATATTAATCTGATCATGTACTTGAGATATTAGAAATAAACCTAAAAGTATTTGTCAACAGCAGAAACAAATGCAATTTGCCAATAAATGAATATTGCATGAACAAGTGTTAGGTAAAGCTTAATTCAAGATTTTATCGTACATAACAACACTCTGGAGACATTAAAAGCCTCTTATGGAACTCTTCAATTGCAATAACAAGAGGGTATCCCTTTATGAAGGAATGGAAGCTGGCTCAGTCGTAAGAGCTTCAGAGCAAAATTGGCTGCTGGGGAAAAGCACATAAGAGAGCTGGCAGCCTGAAATATGTGAAAAGCTCAGGGCTCTCGGAGGAGTAGTGCAGACCACTGAAATGGAACAGGCTGAACAGTATCTAAAATTGAACAGGTGCCTTTCTATGAAAAAAACAACAAAGCAGACAACTGTTTGGCATGACAATTCAGAGAAAAAAAATTTCCACCGAGAGGCATCAAATTAGAGGATAGGTTTGGCTGAGGACAAAATTGCTTAAAGAGTCAGACCTTTCTGAGCGTAACTTCAGAGAAAGCTCATTCAGAGTCTCTCTGGGTACAAGTGGCCAAAGAGAACTGCAGTAACGAACTTTCTAGGCAACTACCCCCCGGTCTCTTTTCTTGGGTTGAGTTGAATGTTGGAATTAGTAGGTGTAGCTAAAAAGTTGTCTCGGCTGCCTTTCTGAACTGAACTCCTAGCATTTGGTTATGCGAACATAGCCTTATTAGAAAGGCTTGCTACATAGTAAAGAAAGCCCTAAGAAAAATAGCAATACTTCAGAGTATAAAATAATCCTGGAAAACATTATCCCTGTGGGACGTGTAACACTGACAAAATTGTAGGCAGTCCTGCTTTCTCCCTGGGGGATGTTCAGGTGACATTGCCTCCCTGCACCTGGACTCATGGCAGTAACAGGCAAATCAGACTGACCCAGAAGATCAAAACTCAGCACCAAGGTTCATCATTTCTGGATACAGCTCTTAGTTTAACATAGTTATTTGGAATTAGATCATGAAAATATATATATTTCTCTCAGACAGGTGTGATGTAACTATTTTCTATTTTTCTCTGCAGAATGGGAATAATTGTCGTCTTCCATTGTACTGGGCAGTGGAGAACCTCACAGCAGTGTGAGTGGAGCACGGCATACAGACCTTGACCAGCGTTTTTGATAGAAGGTGGAATTGGGAATGCTGGTCCCCGAGTCTACTTTTCTTGTAGTCATTATCCATGTGTAAAAATACCACCCTGTTCCCAATCCCTCAGTCACAGTAGCTCCAATGAAAAGTTGTCAGATTTTTCGTGGTGGTCCACTCCTGTCATTACAATTGAATCGATTGCTGCTTGTTATTGCCTTATGTTCCCACGCATAAATCACTGGGTTTATTCCAAGACTTTTTTTCCCTCTCTCTTTCTGAGTTTGCATAAGATTGAATTTGGCATTGATTCAAATCAAATAATTCAAATGTCATTTTTGCCTGGTATTTAAACTAAGGCTGGGTGTGGGGTTTTGACTGAAATAAAGTGTCTTACCTAGCAGTTTCAGTCATTTGGTCTATTTGTCACAGTAGATTACAGAAAGTGTGGTATGCACAGAATTATGCATGCACTTTTCAGCCATCTAAAATGGAGGATAAATTGAACATGTCATGGTTCTAGGGCAGTAATTTATATTGAGTACAAGCTGGGAAGGGACTGGAGCCAAAAGCTCAGATCTAAATTACCTTGAGTTCCGGGGAAATTTTAATCCAAATAAAAACTTCACAGCTGTTCATTCTATAATTATGTGAACCAACAAGAGACCATGTCTCAGCACTCCCAAACTAAAGAATTTACACCAAAACTGAAACTTTGTGGCCAAGTCCACAGATGCCCTATACTGACCCTGATCACTGAAGTTCTCTGTGTGCAGTTACTGCCTCCTGACTTCTGCTGTCTGTTGTAACCACTCCGAATGTCTCTGTTGGCTTTGCATATATCCCCATTCTCTATAAATGAACTTTTTCAGCCTGATAATATTTCCTCACTGAGAGCGTGTTTTGAGGATTCACAAACTCAAGATTTCTCATATATGGACTATTGAAGTCGGTCTCATGGCCTTCTTTTTGTTACAGGTGCTTATTCAAGGTTTGATTTGCAAGGGTGCCTCTTCCCTTTGGCAACCCTGGGAATTGCCTGCTTTTCAAATTTCAAATGCAGATACCACCAGTAAAGTCCAGTTTGAGAGGAGAAAGGAAAACATTGTCTTTTCTTGATGCTTCTGCATGGTCTTCCCTACAGTCTCTCCCATCTCCTTTTGCTTCTAGTCAAAACCCAACCACTTTTTTATGTCAGTAGTCAGCCCACGTAGACGTACAGTGAAATTCCTTCTTTAGGTAAAATAGTTCTTACTTTTCTATTCAGAATCATTCCTAATCCAACCTTCTTTTACCAGGTATAACCAATTTCCCCGTAATCATTCCTAATCCAACCTTCTTTTACCAGGTATAACCAACTTCCCCGTAATCAAAGATAATCTACCCTTCTCCCACAATAAAATGTAGCTGTATAAAATGTTCATTGTGAATAAATGAATAAATAAATGAATAAAATGTAGCCCACCCCAAGACTAAGCCCTCCCGCCCAGTATTTCACAAAAGCACCTCTTTGACCCGACCCAACACAAATCAAAATTAATTTCTTTCACATAGTCCAAAACAACTTCTTCCCCCCAAAATAAACTCTTCTCCTGTCATTAAATTGTAATGACACTTGCAAATTCAGGAAGTCATGGTGCAGCAGAATGATAGTAGTCCTAGAGACACTTTAACCTTTTCGTTTACTGCAAGCATCATCCCTCTGCCTTTCATCAGCCCATAATGTAAAAGGCGAAGTCTGGTTATGAGGGGATGGAGCAGGAAATGTCAGCAGGCCAGAGATTGCTACCTTCTGGTCCAGCACGGGCACCCAGGCTCCAGCTGGGGCTGCAGACTTCAGAGCTGTTCAGGGCAGGGAGTGGCTGCGGAAAAAGGATATTGGGGGTTATTGCTACCACTGGTACTTTCCCCAAGTAAACACTGATTGTAATAATGGAAGTAAAAGGCAATATATTTAACATTGGCAAAAGTAATCCACCTGCAAAACATGCTGGCAAATGGTATCACTGAGACCAAGTGCTTAGCAGGATTCAGTAAAAGGTTATACATATATATTCATACATTTATGTGGGGAATTAGATTGGACCTGATAAAAATTCATAATGGATATAAATGTTCACAGTTCAGGGCATAAATCAGCCACCAGCCTGAGGGTAGAAAATAACTTCCCCTATAGTCAGGTTGTTATATAATTATCCATTATACTTGTGGAGGGGGGGAAGGAGGTTGAAGAATAGGGCAATTTCCTCAGAGACATCTGGGAATTACTATTGGCAGACAACTAATTTAGATTTGATCTGGTATGGAAGTTCTTATTACATCAAATAATGTAATTTAGAATTAAAGCATATGATTTATTTTGTATTTCTTACTCTTTATGTAATCAAGTTCATGCCTGAGGGTAACTGCAAGCCTTTCCCTTATAAGGCAGCCAAAGTTAGTGAAATTCACTGTGCCGCGTTTTCTCACAGAAGCTCCTTAAAAACAGCTTCAAATTTTCGAAGGAAGTCAGGCGGAGTCCCAGGAATTTAGTTTGTTGAAAAGCTAGCCAACTAATATAGCCAACTTACTGCCTGTATTAGCAGAGAAAAAATTGCGTGCATGAACTGCAGTAAAAATCTCATATTCTGAAAAGTTCTCATTCTTATTAAGTTTGCATAATAACCTAAAAAGACGTGCAGAGCTCCTGAACATCACAAATTATAGCATGTGGGCTACTCCAGGCTTGCTTTTTCTGCTTGGTATTGTCAGCTCACCTAAGCAAAACATGCATGTTCAGTGGACTTGTTTTCATAAAGCAACATACCTCCAGCTCTCTTGTTGCACTTGCAAACACTCTGCAAGCTAACGTAACACACACCGCATGCTAATAAAAACAGCCTTTGTGACCTTGCAAACAGACAGCTTGACTGAAAATGGTTTGATTAACAAACTGTAAGTGAATACAGAAAATCATTTACGTTCGCTGCAGGGTTCAAGGGATGTTAGCTTCATTCTACTGTAGTTTCTGGAATGCACGATACACTTACTGTAATTCTAGCATAAATTATCATCACAATAGATGTGGGAAACCGAGGAGCATTTATTAACCAAACATCTCACCAATTTTCAGAACAAAAAAAAGCAGTAGTTGGCATCAGTCTCTCTTAAGCATTATTTCTGTTCCTAGTAATACTAGAAACATTGCACAGCGATTGCTCAACGTCTGGAAGGTTCTAGGGCCACAAGCAACAAACACTGTGGTCTTATGAAAAAAAATCTTCCCATGCAAACTTGAGTGATCTATTAGGACAGATTTATAAAAGGAATGGCTGAAGAGAAGGCAGCAGATGTAATGTAGTAGATTTTTTTTTAAGGTTTTAAATCATATTCCATAAAAATCTTACTTGAAAAATGAATTCAAGCTGGCTTTGCTAGGAAAGCTGTAAGTTTGTCGTGGAGCACCTGTCCCCTGGCAGCGGGCGAGGATGCCCCCCCAGCTGGGGCTCCCCCAGCTCAGTGCCAAGTGCTGTAGGTGTTGGAGGCAGGAGGCTTTGCAGGCTCTAGTTACCAGGCTGTCCTCGTTTAACACGCAGAGTCTGCAGAAGTAACGCGACTGCTTTATGGCTTTCTCGGAACAAATAGGGCAACTCCCTTAAGCACGATTAACTCTTAGCAGTGGCAACGTTATCAGCCCTGAAGCTGAATCTCAAATGAGAGTTATGATCGTATGGGGTGGGCCTTGTTGGGACCATTTGACACCAGTCTTCTGCCAGTCACATGCAGTTTTGCTGTGTCTCCTGCCTCCTTATGTGGTCCTGCTGCTACTAATGACACCCTGCCAGCAGCAAGCTATTGCCCTGGGAAGCTCTCAGGCTGCTTACAGCCCAGCTGCCTCCTTCTGCCAGCTACCAAACTGCTGCTCCGGCTCCCACATAGGCTCCTCCTTCTCAAAGACGGCTTACAGTACGCTGGAAACCCCAGTATATACTGGGAACCCCAGTACATACTGGGAACCTCAGTACGGTGTTGCAAAGACATATGATATATTGAACTGTGAGGAGATGTTTGGGGTATGATAGATACGGGTGTGAGGGCTGATTTTTTTTTAATATTTTCATCAGGAAAATAAAGTAAACTTCAGTATGCTGCTGACATTTACAATTGTACATCGCAAAAAGCTGCAAATACCAATGAAGAGATAATTATAGATGGGGTGTAAAGAAATGATGCACTCAAAAAGTAATAGTTTTGATCTAGAATAAGGCAAATTGATAAATAGTATACAAATAATTCAAATATTTTTTCAGTGGAAGAAATAGCCTGAGTAGCATGTATTGGAAAAGAGAATGATGGGAAACTCTCCTTCTTCTCCCCTGGCAACTAGATGAGAGTTTGCACAGGATATGGCAAGGCAAAAGAGCAATGTCATTTTGGACTCCACATGAAGAGCTGTAACAGCATCAGGTTAAGTCATTTTCTTTATGATTTTGGCTTAAAATATTCAGTTCCATCTACAGCACTATCAAAAAGACAAAGGATAAATGAGAAAGAGTTCTGGAAAATGCCAGAATAACAATCAACAGCTGGAGGCCAGATTTATTTGGAAATACGTGTACATGTTTAACTTGTCCAAACCTTTAAGGGTGATTAAGGGGAACCCATAATGGACGACTTTTTCTGGAACAGAGTACTTAGAAATACAAAGTAGAAAAAAAGGGTCAGCAGGTCAGGGGCTGCCAGAGATCCCAACACTGCTTTGTTAGCTGCTGCCGCTCAGCAGCCGCCAAATTACTCTAGTAGCAGATCCCAAAAGAGTGCATAAAAATGGGGGTTGCATTTATATTCTGAGAATCAAGGTTAGTTTTTGTTTCCCCAGAAACTCACTTCCAGAGACAAACCTCCCTGTTTCTACCACGTAATTAAATAAAAAGTAGGCACACGGTCCAGTATAGTGCTGAGGATCACACCGACTGCTTCATATTGCTTCCTATTCAAATACAGTCTTCATTCATCCCTAAGCCTATGTGTTACCCTCTCCTTATAGCACACTAACAGAGATGAGATTAGGAGTGAGGCTAATGGGTGGCAACACCATGTACATAATGACATATTTAGGAGAGGAGAAAGAGATACAAGTTAAGCTAGAAAGGAAAAAAAGAAGAACCAGGCAAAATACCAACAGAAACATCGTGACTCCAGAGTTTCTGCATTTCTGACTGTTGCCTTCATACTGAGGCATAGAGGACACGTCGACACTGGAAGCCAGTCTGTGCAACTTGTTCAAGGTATTACCTCTGCTGCCTAGCTAGCAGTGAGGCCGCATGAGCATTCCTACGCAGCACTGGCGTCTGCCCTCCTGCCTATGCCCATCTTCACAACCCTGAGCACATTTGGAAGTTAGCATCCCACCAGATGATACATCAGGACAGGCTCAGCACTGAGGGTTGCTGATAGCTACAGGCTGCCTACATAACAGCCCTGCGGACAAGAAGCAGAGCATCCTGTGCATGCGGCTGCTCCAAGAGCAGCTCTTGCAGAACAGTGTGAATGGAGTCAGCAGGTTGCTTATATTTTAAACATGGTAAGTAAGGACTGCTCGCTGGGTTAGCAGGATATATGGGGCATGACAAAAGGCTGAAGGAGTAAACAACGTTATTTTCACACATCATGTGGCTATCAGGAGGAAAATCTCAAAAAAAAAGAGAAAAGACGAGGGAAAAAAAGTGGCAATGAAGCAACCAGCTTCTCCCTTTCTCTTTGAAAATCAGAACAGAAAATAACTTGGGGTTTCCCCTATTTAGCAAATGCTTTTGTTATAGCAGAGGACGTACAGAATGATGTTAGAGGTTAAGGTCTTTCCTAGAAGAGATTATGAATGTATCATAGATTAAACACTATTTGAGTTATTAACTCTATTTCTATGGATACCGCTAGTATACTAAAATACTTCGATAGGACAGATATTCCACCCAATGTTCGTGTTATCTGTCTCTTGCATCAGAAAATGAAAGTCAAAGAGACCTCCGTATTATTCTCGCTTTCACACTTTCTGGATTTTTTTGGGGGTAGAAGGCACAACAAAAAATCCATGAACAATTATAGTATGCATTTGAGAAATGTCTAGGCTGTCTGAGCTCCTGGGAACACTTGAGAATTTAAAGGGAAAGATAGGCAGGGAGGAGCTGGGTCAGCTCACCTGTGGCATAAATGTATTCCAACACTTAGAGGATGGTGGGGAGTTCAACAGCATGTCAGACATGGGGTTCCGACTCCAAAGCACATGATGCACTTTAGACTTTTTGTAATATGTTTATTTATCGTTAGTCTGGATTCAGCAGTTGAAGTCTCAAAACTCAGTCTTTTAAAACTATTCCCAGTACATTCAGTGCAATGCAGGTTGCAAACATTTCTATTCATGGAATTTAACTTGGATTTTAAATTGCTATATGTATGGTGTCATTAATTCTGGAATAAGTTCCTTCATCTATTTTAGCTTATTTCAATATTTAATTCTAGAACAGTTATTCTATTCTAGAATTATTCCAGAATTGTCTTGGCTCCAGAAGGTCATAGAAGTATCTTTCATCAGACATACCGATATTGTAGTATGCCCTGGGTAAAACAAGAATTAGGATTCTAGTTGAGTTAGGAGCACAGATCACATCATTTATTATCTGCAGATGCCAGGACATTAAAACTTTCAATTGTTTTCCCACCAAACTGAATGAGGCAGTTCGTTAATACAATTACCTCTGTATAATTGGAAACTAAATCAACGATGACTGTGTGATTTGAATATTACTTTAAATAATTTCATTTTTATGATGCTATTTTGTTGTACATGGCATCGCCAAATAGCTTATTCATTTTCCTGCTGACTGTGATTTGAGTTTGCGCCTTTCTTTGAGAAGGAAGAAGCACATTTTCAACCTTTCTAGTTTTCTGGGATAAAGCGTACATTGCTTTTAATTATTTAGGCTGACACACATTAACACTAAAAGTCCATAGTCCATAGTGAGTGAAACAAGAGGGAGGGACCAGGTGGATTGTAACTCACCCAGGAAGAAGAGTAGGCACCAGAGTTGGCAAGGCCCTTACAGGAAAACAGGAATTTGGGGTAGATAACCAGCACAGAACTTGAATGTTGCGAAGGATTTCCCCTGCTCCTTTCAGAGGAGCATCCCTAGTCACTGCCTGTTCGCTCTTTTGGAAAGCAGCAGTTTTAAAGTATTTGGACAGGTAATAGGAAGAAGGCCCACAGACTACTCACTCTATGTCACGGTCTGTTTGGATCTCTCAAATTTACAGGACGATGTACTCTGTAAATTAAACTTTATTTTATAAGCTCATTAGGAAAGAAAACAAACACGACAAACAAGGGCTCTATCCCCTTTGTACAGGCTGGTCTAGCACATGAATTCACTAATTCATCACTTAAGTCATGAGGTTTCTAACTCACAAGTTCTCCAATTCATAACTTACAATTCATTAACTCATAAGTTAATGTAACTCATGCACCTATGAGCAAAATAATTACCTAGGCAATGGTGAGAGTGCTCATCCTTCCTCCTCCGTCACAGTGCGGGCATCCCCTGTATCACACCAGGAAGCACGAACATCAGTGTGTTATCAACAGTTTTCATCACAAATCCAAAACATAGCACCCATACAGGCCTCTATGAAGAAAATGAACTCCATCCCAGCCAAAACCAATACAATCTCCACAGCTTATTCCATACCATTTACATCATGCTCAGGTCCCACGCTATCCAATAGATCCTCATTAGCCACTTTCCCCCTTCCCATCCTTTGATATATACACAGATATCATTCCCTTAACCTATGAACCACCCCTATAAAATGCCCATAAAATGTCCATAAATGTCCATTGAGTTCATTTAGTTTCAGGACTTTGTGCTCCATCTGTTATGGTGGTCACTCAGGACAGGAGAGGTGGTGTGTTGCGTGGAGTTATTGGGCACCAAAGCCAGCTCAGGTCGGGTCACTGCTGCACTTGCACTGCTTCTTGTAAGGCTTCTCCTCCATTGGTTCAGGTGGTTCCTGCTATAGTAATTCCTATAACATGCAACTCAGATCATGGGTTACAACAATTTAAAGGTATTTCCATTACAATCTCCACCCGTGGTCCCTTTGGGCCAGGTTATAGGGTTTAACATTGCAACGAACTCCTCCCCTTGCTCCTAGCCGGGCTAGCAACAAGGGGTTCTTGCTACAGTAATTCCCATAACATGCAACTCAAATCCTGGGTTACAACAATCTCAAGATATAGGCATTACAAGCTTCGCCTCTGGTCCCTTTGGACACCGCAGTGTACTTCTACCCTTGCCTCTGCTCCAGTGTGGACTTATCCACAGACCCCAGTCCCTTAGGGGTGGACCTGCTTCGGTGTGCACTTACTCATGGGCCACAGTCTCTTCAGAGGTATACCTGATGTGGCCTGGACTTACCCACAGCCACAGTCACTTCGAGGTGTACCTCCTCCAGCTCAGCCTTATCCATGGGCCACAGTCCCTTCAGGGGTGTACCTGCTGTGGTGTGGACATGTCCGTGACCACAGATGTTTCTGCTCTGACATGGACTTATCCACAGCCACAGACACTTTGGGACGTCCTGCTCCTGCATGGACTTATCCACAGGTCAAGTCCCTTCGACTCAAGTTGACCCTGGAGTTCCAGCCTGTCTAGCACAGCAGCACAAAAACAGCAACACAGAAACAGCAGCAATGCCCTGGCCATCTGCCAGCCCCGGCACATGGCCACTGCTGTTATCAAAATGCTCCCAGGCACAGCAGGGTAAGATGATAAGCACTACAGCAAACAACAAGAGCAAAAAGCAGCCACTAAAAAGCACTAGACACTAATGTACAGCGAGGGAAGCAAGCCCCGTGGCAAGCATAGGAAGAGTCCAATTAATAGCTAAACACCTATAACAGCTATAAATTTGATCTAGCACATTCCAATCAAATCTGTCATTACCTTGAACCCTTTGAGCCCCATGTTGGGCACCAAAAATGACTGTCGTGGTTTAACCCCAGTGGGCAACTCAGCCCCACGCAGCCACGTACTCACTTTCTCCCAGTGGGATGGGGGAGATAATCAGAGGGTAAAAGTGAGAACACTCGTGAGTTGAGATAAAGACAGTTTAACAGGTAAAGCAAAAGCCGCGCACACAAGCAAAGCAGAACAAGGAATTCATTCACTGCTTCCCATCGGCAGGCAGGTGTTCAGCCATCTCCAGGAAAGCAGGGCTCCATCATGCGTAACGGTGACTTGGGAAGACAAACACCATCATTCCAAACGTCCCCCCCTTCCTCCTTCTTCCCCCGGGTTTTATTGCTGAGCACAGAGTCATGTGGTATGGAATATCCCTTTGGCCAGCTGGGGTCAGCTGTCCTAGCTGTGCCCCCTCCCAACTCCTTGTGCACCCCCAGCCTGCTCGCTGGCAGGGCAGTGTGACAAACAGAGAAGGCCTTGACACTGTGCAAGCACTGCTCAGCAATAGCTAAAACAGCCCACTGTTATCAACAGTTTTCATCACAAATCCAAAACATAGCACCATACAAGGTACTATGAAGAAAATTAACTCTATCCCAGCCAAAACCAGTTCAGTAAATAAATAAAATATTGCTTAATTGGCCAAAAAGTCAGCATGAATTTTCACTGCGTGAAAGACACAATAAGCTCAACAACTAAGGAATGTCCTTTATCTTGTTTTTTATCAAGCTAACTTAATAGGAGGTGAATTCTTTATGTGTAATGTTGGTAGAACGTGCACCCAGAATTGCCTGTACATAAGCATTTGTACATTACAAAAAGCTCTTCTGAAAATTGTTATCTGTTGAGTAGATCAGGCTGCTGTTGCAAAATGAAGGACCGTAGAGCGATTCTGTCATGACAGCAGTCCTTCTCCTCTGTGAATGAAAAGGGGGATCATGCAATGTGCCTCCAAAGGCTTCTAAAATACTGCCATGAAGTGGCTAAATCATCCTTACAAGCTCTTTTATCTGTTTTAAATGCATTGTTCTCAAGAATTTTTCAACTTGAAAATAAATTAATTTTTAAGTTTAAGTCATCAAGCCATAACAAGACAGAAACTCTGACAATCACGCATTCAAAGCATTTCAATGTCAGTTTATTCTACAGGATGAGACAAGTACCAGCAGAAGATAAACCATTCCTGATTCCCCGGAGCCAAATTTAAAGTTGAACTTTCCTCAGGAAGAATAAGGGTCTATATTCTACTTGTTCATACTCATGTACTACCACTTCTTGTATTTCCGTGGTTCCTGGGAATGAGATCATAACCCATACTTAACGTCTGGGTCGTGGGAAAAGGTGGTAGGCATACGGTTACTATTTCACTAGTACTAGAGACGGGGTCTTCTCCACAAACTGAAGAAGGGACCAGCTGTTGTACTTTAGACTGTACATTAACCTCATCTTAACTTTTAGATGGTAAGGGTTAGGGAAGGTGAATTCCAACCATCGTGGCTGAGGACATACTATCTTATGCCAACAGCCAAGCAGGGATCCATGCTCCATCTTATGACTTTGCGATGTAAGAAGGGAACAGAGCTTGTGCCGCACGCGATGCTGATTCCAGGGTCTTTGGTTTACGTCTCGTGCAGAGCTCTGTAAAATAGAGGATGTCTCCTTATCACTGAGTGAAAAATAAGTTTTGTTTCACTGTATCCTTTGTGACATCACAGGGACTAATTTTAAAATGAGAGTTATTAAAAATGTAACATCGAAAAAACTTCTAGTCAAAATCCCAGATCCTCAGAGTCACTTCTCATTACAGTCTCAGTCCATAGTCACTGCTTTGAAGTTCAGAAATTCAGTGTGACTGAAATTCACTCGGCAAGTCAAGACTTGTCTCCCAACATTTTTCAGAAGTTTGAAAGATTTAATTCCAACAGATATATTCCTCCATTGCCCTTTTATTTGAAGGTACCCAAACTAGCAAGGTTTTTAAAATGTGTATTTTCAGCAGTAGGTGGCACTATGAAGTTTCTATCTTCATAATTATTCTAATAAAAATAACATTAAAATGTTATGCAGATACATTAGAAAGAACTTCATCAAATCTTGTTAATAGTCCATTATCTGAAAATGTAGCCAGATCTTTCCATTTTCCTGTCATTTTAAAAAGAGCACGAAAATATTTTAGAATAAATTCTGATAATAAAATAAATGTTCTTCTAAATATTGATTGACAAAAAGTCTAATGCAAAAATACCAATAATAAGAATGTCTAATAAATTTTAAAATTATATGTGTCATAAAAAGTTCTCTATATTCTTTGTTACTCTTCAGTAAAGTACCACCATGGGTTGTTCTTGAATATATTACTTCAGCTACTTCAAATTTCCTGGAAATTATATCTATCTCATTTGCATATAAGCTGTAATATTGCAGTAATGGGTGTCAATACATATAGACTAGGTATATAAGTTGTATAAGGTAAATGAACGTATACTAACAGGAATACAGCAAATGGAAAAGCATTTGGATTTTTCTGTGCTTGGCCAAAAGTTCCTACTTACAAGTGGAAACCAAAGCATTAAATGCAGGCCCATATAGGAATACCATATGGAGATGTTACTATATCCCAAATAAACTCCAGGATTAGAAAGATGCAATGTTAATTGAAAACATTTTCTTCAAAACTTTACTATACAAAAAGCTATAAAGGGCAACTAACAAACAAGCCTGTGTTTCTGGGTATTTCAGGCTGTCTAATCAAATGAAAATAATAATGCAAAAGTATTGCTCATACTTTGTTTCAGAAAGCTCCTAATGCCATACACCTCGTTCATCAGTGGCGTACGGTGGGAATAGCGCAGTGAGATACAGCATTTTCATTAAGCTGATTTTTGGATGGCTGCCTTCTCATCAGAAATGAAGCGCTGGTCTGCCTGGGCTCAAGGTGTGAAGATAAGGAAAGGAGAAAAGAAATTAAGCAAGGAACACAAATGAAATATATAGTCAATGCTCTTTTATCTGGCCTGGCCAGAAAGTATCCTTGCCTTTTTTTTTCACCCCAGGCTCCAAGCAAGCTGCTTAGCTTTGCATACTATTTCTGCACTGTGATACAATCTGTGCCAACGCCCAAGATTCGCGTTTGCTTTTATTTTGCTTTCTATTAAATAAAGCATGTAGAAAAGACACCTTCATAGCTTCAAGGCAATTTTTCACGAACTGACATTGTGTATTACTCATTTTGTGCTAACGTGGTCTGCTTGCTGTTTCTTTTATAATACTGAAAAAGTCAAAAGCTGGTACTTAATAAAAACATCATTTGCAAGGAGCTGGCAGCAGCTGTACTCAAAGGTTTTTTAACTTGTGACAGCCCACTTCTGTTTCTCCAGAGTCTTCAACAGAGTCCTTTCAGTTGGCTTCAGTTGGGCTCACTTTTAGACCACAGAATAAAGTGGTACTACAAAAATAATACACGGGAATATACTTAGTTTTGCTGCTGGTTCTCCATTACAAACGATTTATCGTCGCCATGCATTCTCCCTCCAAGGAATCAAAGCCGTAGCATCATAAGAGCTCCTTCAATATACCTAGCTCATTCAGTGATGCAGCACATGTTCTGCTTAGACCTCCATAATACATTTAGTGGCTCTACGGATGTGTTTTAACTAAACTTTCATTGTAAGGCAAGTGCTTCCACTCTATCTAGTACAGTTATCAAACATGCATATAATAAATCTGCTTAGATTACAGGTTCTTCTTCCTTCAAAGGGATATATCAATTTCATATAATTAGAGCAAGCAATATCTTTGGGTAGACACCCACCTGCAACATGATAGTGCAAAGAGGTTTTTTAATTATTAGATTTATCAAATTTATACACGTGCTATTTTTTAATTTACAAAGTCACACTCTTGTACCTTGTAGGGCAAATGTGAAAATGAGATCTTCACATTAGCCCTGTTAAAATTGCAAGGTGCACTAACACAGCTCAACGGTTGTGAACACCCAAAGCAGGCATAGTGCGCCAGTCTGAGAGACTATAGCAGCACTCTGGCTGCAAGCCACAGAAGCTAAATAAGCACCTGCAAAGGAATAGTTACATCTATTATGGCTAGTAAATGTCCTAATTCCATGCTATTTTGTTATGTTAGATCATTGAAAGTAGCCTCAAAAATGGGCCCAAAGGGTAACCAAAGGATCGTTTGAAAGGTACATATTGTCATATACTTTCAGCCAGGCTACAAACACAATGGCAGCGGTCATACCTTCGTCAAAGCCATATTCAGTGCACTGAATTGATTAACTATTCGACTGCTACTTGTATTTCCAAGTGGAATTCAGCTAGCTCTCTGAGTGATGTCATTTACCAAATAATGACAAGTGATTTAAGATAAGACACTCCAATAATTTGGTAACTATGACACAGGGATCCAGGCCCACAGCCCCTCCGCTTTAAAGCATTCCCTCCTACTTTTGGGTGTTCTGTGGCACATGCTCGCTGTTAAGCCTGAGGAATACGATATGCTGTTGAACGCGTATTAAATAGCTGGAGAAGTCAAAAGGTTGACGCAGATGTCGTCACGACCTCCTGACAACAGCAGACATTGCTGCTCTGTGGGGGACCTCGTCTGAAGGTATAAATCGCAAACAATTTGTGTGTATCGGTCCCCAAATCCCCTTATCTCTGTTTTGGCTGGTCTGCGAGTTTGGGCACTTGTTTGGCATTCTTCTGCTCGGCAGAAGGCAGTCGGCACACGGGCAGGTCTGCGAGGCTGTTAGTGTGGCTCCGCCTTTCCGTTCCTCTGCATCAGCCCCCCGGCGCGGTCCATCAGCGCTCTCCGCCGGGTTCTGCCGCCACTTCCATCTTTCCTGCACCAGCGCTGAACTCACCGTTTGACTACACAAAGATGAGAAGTGCTGTACGAATGTGAAATACACAGATACACACGCAGATACGCAGCTGGGCTAAGGCACAAGGACGAACACACCGAGCCGCCCCCGGTTCCGCGGGCTTGTGCCGGGATCACCGGCGCCTGCCCGGCGCGGCCGGACCAAGATGCGGCTGGCCGTTACCGGGGGCAGGGCGGGGGCTGCCCCGCGGGGCGGGCCGG